TAATGATTCGATTACATTATATATTGAATATTTTTAACGATTATTTGAATATTTTGCAGATTATTCGCATAACAATGAATTTTAATCATCCAAACACTACAGTAATGTACATAGCGACATATCACTGAAACGAAGCCAAGTAAAAAAAGTTGATAGTGGTTATTTTTTAATATTTTTCTTTGTTCGAAAGATTTAAATTTAAATTAGTGATAAAAAACTATACACGTTGTAATGAAATATAGATAAGTTCATAATTCTTCGGATTTACGTAAAAGGTTATTTTCAATTGTGTGGTTACGCTTGTGCAAAGTTATTGCGAAATGATTAATGTGAAACGTCAAAAGGTATTTCTTAGATTTGGTTGACTATAATGAGTCGAGAGATGATCTATGTTGGAATTTCCGTTTATGCCGAGGCATAAACCACATTAACATTAGTTTTTCATCTCACATTGACGTCCTTTTTAAGTACACTACTGATCGTAAGTTCTTTTAAGAATGTGCTGATAAGCTATACTATATATTCTAAATATTATAATTCTTGCTACTAATATTGTACATACTATCTTACGCGACATCTTCTATAATCTACGGTTATATCTTAGAACCCCACACGGAACAAGTATTTATATGGCCTACAAATAATTGTTTGTTTATCTAAAATTATGTATGTAAACTGCTTCTTTGATACAATGTTGGAGTAAAGGTTTTTTAAAGAAAAAAAAATAGGATAACGGCTCTGACTCGCATAAGAAGATGATTTACATCCACTTACGCTACAGGGGCGAGGAAAGAAAAACAAATGTGAAATCCGCCACCATGCATTGCCAATGACTATTCCCACTCAAAAATTTGCCTCGAGCGAATCGCTAGTTTTAGAATAAACCGTAGAAAATTATGATGGTAGTTCGTCAAAGCTTATATAACATCAAAGCTTCAAATTATCCATTCTTCATTCTTGATACCATATTTGACCATTCCATATTTAGGTGAAGCCACTTCTCGGTCTGAATAAAGATAAAGAATAAATGGACATCCGTGCCCTAATGCAGGATCGGAATTTAGCCAGCTGTATGTGCATGTGTATGTGTATGTGTATGTGTATGTGTGTGTGTGTGTGTGTGTGTGTGTGTATGTGTGGTGTGTGTGTGGAGCGTGCATGCGGGCGTGCGCGTGTGCGCGTGTGTTTGAGTTCGCGTGTGTGCATGTGCGTGCGTGCGTGTGTGCGTGTGTGTGTGTGTGTGTGTGTGTGTGTGTGTGTGTGTGTGTGTGTGTGTGTGTGTGTGCGTGCGTGCGTGTGTGTGTGCGCGCGCGTGCGGCGTGTGTGTGTGTGTGTGTGTGTGTGTGTGTGTGTGTGTGTGTGTGTGTGTGTGTGTGTGTGTGTGTGTGTGAACATGTAAATATTTCATATCTTTGTAACGGAGTATCCGATCGAAATGCGGTTTTCAGCAAGAAATCTCAAAAAGTATTTTTTTCTAAATAACTTGAAAACATCCGTGAAATATTTTTTTGTAATGGACTGTTTTGTTAATTTGAAAACATCGCGTCGATTGCCGTTAATCACATCAAAATGGTTGATTTTAACAAGTTTCGTTAAATTATTTTTCATAATTGGATAAAAATACTTTTACGGATTTTATCGTCTTAAAATAAAATAAAAATAAGAAAGCCTTTTATTTCTTGCTTCACAGTATAGATTTACAATTTGAAACAGTGTGCATGCAAAAATTAATTGACCCAGTGTTAGAAAACTTAGTATTTTTGTAAGTATTGATATTTACGTGCTTGTAATAGAACAAGGTTTATAATAGACTCACAATTTCATTAATTAATTGCAATAAATTACTTCTTACTTCTGGTAGTTGTCTTAGACCATTATAACAATGCATTTTAAGAATTTTAATAAATCCTGTTAATATTTTTTTTTTTTGGTGTATGTGTACGATCGCAAGAACCCCTCTTTAACGGAGGGTAAAGGCCTCCTCCAGAGATGACCAATGTTTTCTGTCCTCTTCTACTCGCATGCAGTGGGTACCTGCTATTTTTATAATGTCGTCGTTTTTATCGTCTTAAATTTACTTATTTTTGATTAGCTTGCTATTTTTTATGTTATGCAAATTTGCTTTGCATAACATAAATGGAAATACATCTTTATATTATTCACAATTAAATTTTATTTGTGCACCACAACTTTTGAACTATTATTAGTACAAACAATAGGACAGGACAGTACTTTGGAGCCATATAAATACTAACCAACATAATACCATAAAACCGGATATTTTGGGTGTTTTGCAGCACTCATGTTCACGGGAAGGACTGAGGTGATATACAGAAACTTCGGAAAGGTGGTACAAAAGTGATCCACCTTTTTTATATGGATGACCTCAAGTTATTTGCCTCCATTCGCTCCCATCTTGTGGAATTGCTAAACATCACTTGTGAATTTAGCAATTATATTGGAATGGAGCTGCGTACGGATAAATGTGCGGTCCTCCATGTTGAAAGGGGAAGGGTTGCTAACTCTGAGGGCATAGATTTATCTATGCCCTTCAACTTAAATACCCTTTCTGAGGCTGAAAAACGATAACACTGTTACGAAAAAGTCAGTTTGCGACGTGTTTTATGCACGCTTGACCAAAGTGCTTAACAGCCTTTTGTCTGTTGTGAGTAAGATACACGCATATAACGGTTGGGTTATGCCTGTCCTCATCTAAACCGTTGGCATACTCGGGTGGACTTAGACTGAACTTAACGTCCTGGATAGAAAAGTCCGCACTACCATATACGTCCCAAAGGATGCATCATCCATTATCAGCGGTAATGAGGCTGCTTAGTATGAAAGAATGACGGGCGCGGCTTTCTGAATGCGCTCACCATGCATAATCGCGAAGTGTGCAATCTCCGTCATTACTTCCTGGCGAGATCGGATGTCCCATTCTATAATGACGTTGTTTCTTGTGATAAAGGGCTTACCCCTCTATCCTTAGTTAACGATCAATGGCAGGACTCAGCAGTACATTGTATTTCCGACCAAAAGAACGAGTGGAAGGAGAAGAAGTTCCACGGGAGGTACTACAGGGCTCTAGATGAGCTCTTCGTAGAGACAGCCGCCTCCCTCAACTGGCTAGTTTTCGGTGACTTCTTCGGGGAATATTTTGCTCTGATGCCCCTACCTGTTTGCGCAGAGCAGATTCACCTTGACGATGCATTACATAAGGGCTTTATGGGGTCTGTTTAGATACCATGGAAACAGCTCTAGTGTCAATATGTACAGAAGTGAAGCTGGAAGTAGCCGGAGAACTAATTGCAGGATTTTTTTTAATATGAGTATCTAACTCTTCCTCCGAGGAGATCTTCACCCTTTCATGATTGGGCAGTTTGACACAAATTATCCCATCAAGTGTCCACACTTCCTTTATGCCAACGTGCTTGCGGGCTTTCTTATGTATGGATTGCCTTGTTCTCGTAAGAAACTCAGAAACTGAACCATGAGACTCTTTTAACTTTATCATAGCATTCCACACTTCATGCTTTGTGTGATAGTCTTTGAATTGGATGAGAATTGGCCATTTGTGGCCATCTGTTTTGACCCCGAGCTGATAGCACCGCTTGATGCTAGCACTTGTCACATGTGGAATATCTAATTTGTTGTGTAAAAGACATAGGATCTCTTTCTCTGCATCAACCTCTGCTGTGTCAAGCACGTACCTGCTTTCGGAGAAGATTTATCATTGACCCTACCAACTTCTTGAATGCTTAAATCTCATCACGTAATTGAATAAGTGTGGAGCTAGTTGATGTAGACGCAGATTTTAATCTGCTTTCAAATTCTGTCATTTTACGGGTCCAGCATTCTTCAAGCTTCTTCTGTATGTTCTCCACTTCAATAATATTTACCATTATGTTTACGGTTAAATAGTTATGACAAAGTGAGATGAAAACAAAAAATACTATAATATATACATAATAGAATGGGGGAATGGGCGGAGCCCGTGTTGCCACTAAAATGTCAGTAACGTATCAATTCACACGTATAAATGATGATGAGATGTGTTTTGACATTACAATCGATTCGAAATTGAAGAGTTGACCAGATTATCCATGGCCAGTATATGTTAATTTATCTTATTTTCTGCTGATTTATATTTATTTGACATAATGTGTAACGAAGTTTGAAGTGATAACATTTCTGAAGTAAGAAACACAATTTCAGTCTCAAAACATTTTTTTCATGATTTCCACATCAATTGAATATAATTTAAGTTTACTCATTAACTCTTGATTTTCCTTACATATAATTCTATAATCTTTGGTATTAATTTTAGTTTTAACTAATTTTTTGCAGTTTCCTTATATTTATTGATTTTTGAATCTTTTCTTAATTTCTATCTGCTGCTTGTAATCCTTTCTACTATTCTTTTTGTGACAGAATAATCAGTCAAGTCTATTAATAATAATAATAATAAAATGGCGTAGGGAAGTGACGACTCCATCGCCCGCTGACGTGAAGGTTATGTGACAAAACCGCTACGTCGGCGCAGTCAGTCAGCACCTTGCCAAGAGGTGTGAGCTCCATGCCTCGGCAAAAATTGATGGTGCAAGGGCCCGCTTGTGCATATGGCCTCACCATGAAACGGCGCCGGGTCTGGGCGTCTCCCGTTAAATGACGCCCTGTATGGATGATGGAACACAGAAGATTGCGCAAAGGGCCGCTGCCTAGAGGTCGTCAGGGCGCGTCTAGAGCTGGCGCTGGACGCGACAGCATGCAAACCGCCAGCCGAGCGCGAGGTGCTGCACGACCACCCAGCAGCCCCTCGCATCCATCATCCCCACCAGCTTGCTTGGTGTCGGCAGGGTCTTCGCAGACCCAGCAATCGGCACCCGCCACTGGTGGAGTACGCCGCATGCGATGGACCATCAATATGAATACAAACGCATTGCGGGCGTATTTTAGGGCGAAAGGGGGGAGAAATTGGAGGTTTCGCGTATCGGGCTAGGATGCATCGTCTTTTTACTGAGCTGGAGCCATCTATTACTGTCACCGAGCAAAACCTGGCAGACCGAGTTCGGTATATCTTACGCTCAAATATATTTGATGGCGCCGAACTCGAACGGCTACGACGTGAGGCTGTTCCCTCATCAAATGAAAACGCTAAGACTGGGGGTGTGGTGCCACAAGTTGCAGAACAACCCGCACACGTAGATGCCGCCGAGAATACCCCAGTGGTTGCTGATTCAAATGATGATGGAACATTCACCCAGGAACTAGAAATAGAGCAAATGAGGAGTACATTGGAAGAGGCGATTATGGAAACGCGCAGTACGCCTCTCGAAAATCGACCGCGACTTCCCCGCATAGCCCTAAGCAAGCGGAATCGAGCTGTCGTGAGAGCTCTGAACCCAATGCTGGTGACCTATTTGGAAGCCAGCCGGGACCTTTGCGAGACGGACTCAATTCTCTTTGGCGCCGCACTGGCAGTCTGCCGTATTATAGGCGCCAAACTTTTCACGGCTGGACGCACTACTGGACAAAGTAGTGCTATCCCAGCCTGGACAACAAGAATTGAAGAACGTATCGCAAAGGCTAGGGCCCTCATCGGCAGACTGATATGCTTCAGGTCAGGCAATACCAGGCCAAGGATTGTGCGCACCGTCAGGATGGCGTTTGCTGGGACAAATGTTAGTTTGTCACAGCCGGATATAATGCAAAAACTGATGGAGCGCATAGACGACCTGAAACAGAGAATCGCTGCTTGGGGAAAGCGAATTCGGCGATATACCGAGAGGTCGACACGGTTCAACCAGAATCGTCTCTTCCAGAGTGATCAGAAGAGGCTCTATAAATCATTGGAGCGACCAATGGTAAGTGGAACGGGCCCAGTACCGAATCAGGCCGACACGGTCGCATTCTGGCGCAGCCTGTGGTCAGAGCCCGTAAACCACAACGAGGGCCCTTGGACGGAAGTTGTGGCGAGTCAGTGTGCGGGTATTACGCCCATGGACCCCGTCACCATAACGCCGGATGACGTAGCTGAGGCGGTCCGTAGGGCCCCGAACTGGAAAAGTCCGGGACTCGACGGGCTGCATCACTACTGGCTGAAGGGGTTCGTGGTGTGTCACACTGTTCTCGCCCGACAGTTTCAAGAGGTTCTCAACCAGAAGTCGCTCCCGAGCCTCTTCACTACTGGGATCACCCATTTGGTTCCTAAAAACCAGGGTACCACAGACCCGAGCAAATACCGCCCCATCACATGTCTACCGACCATATACAAGACACTAACATCCATTTTGAGCGCGAGAATCACTCGTCACCTGGACTCAAATCAGGTGATGTCGCGCGCTCAAAATGGATGTCGGGGCGGCGGTCGTGGAACCAAGGAACCACTCCTCATTGACGCGGTCATTGGCAAAGTGGTGAAACGCAACCGTAGGAACTTCGTCGCCGCCTGGATAGACTACAGAAAGGCATTCGACTCGGTGCCCCATACATGGTTAAAGAGAGTCCTCGAACTGTACAAGATAGACTGTACAGTTAGAGACTTCCTCGAGCAGTGTATGGGGCAGTGGAGTACGATCCTTTGTCATCTGGGCGAGCGGATGATGGCTGCGGAGAACCACATAAGGATAAGAAGGGGTATCTTCCAGGGCGATTGTCTGAGTCCAATATGGTTCTGCCTCTCTCTAAACCCTCTCAGTACCTTACTGGAGGGCTCCGGGAGGGGATTTCAGCTACGGAAAGGAGGGACAAAAGTGACCCACCTTTTCTATATGGATGACCTCAAGTTATTCGCCTCCAGTCGCTCCCATCTTATGGAATTGCTAAACATCACTTGTGAATTTAGCAATTCCATTGGAATGGAGCTGGGGACGGATAAGTGTGCGGTACTCCATGTTGAGAGGGGTAGGGTTGCTAACTCTGAGGGCATAGACTTATCTATGCCCGTCAACTTAGGGACCCTTTCCGAGGCTGAAACATACCGATACCTGGGTATGTCACAGAACATCGGTATCGATGAGGCTGGTATGAAACAGTCAGTTTGCGACGTGTTTTATGCACGCTTGACCAAAGTGCTTAACAGCCTTTTGTCCGTTGTGAATAAGACACAAGCATATAACGGCTGGGTCATGCCTGTCCTCATGTATACCTTTGGCATACTCAGGTGGACTCAGACTGAACTTAACGCCCTGGATAGAAAAGTCCGCACTACCATGACGTCCCACAGGATGCATCATCCGAGATCGTCGGTAATGAGGCTGTACTTGCCGCGAAAGCATGGTGGGCGTGGCTTCTTGAGCGCGCTCACCATGCATAATCGCGAAGTGTGCAGCCTCCGTAATTACTTCCTGGCGAGATCGGATGATCCATTCTATAAGGACGTCATTTCTTGTGATAAAGGACTTCCCCCTCTATCCTTAGCCAACGAGCAATGGCAAGACCCGGCAGTGCAGACAATTTCCGACCGGGAGACCGTATGGAAGGAGAAGGAGCTCCACAGGAGGTTCTACAAGTCTCTACATGGGCCTTTCGTAGACACAGTAACCTCCCTCCACTGGCTACGCTTTGGTGACCTCTTCGGTGAAACCGAGGGTTTTGTCTGTGCAATACAGGATCAGGTTATTAAGACCAACAACTATCGGAGATACATCCTAAAGGATGGCACCATCGACATCTGTCGAGCTTGTCGCCATCCCGGTGAGTCACTTAGGCATGTCATCTCCGGTTGTTCGGCGCTTTCTAACTCTGAGTACTTGCACAGGCACAACCTAGTAGCCAGAATTCTACACCAGGAGCTCGCTCTGAAATACGGTTTCGTAGATCGGAAGTTGCCGTATTACAAGTACTTGCCGGAAGCCGTGCTCGAAAATGATCGCGCCAGGCTCTATTGGGACCGGGCCATCATCACAGACAGGACTATTCTTGCGAATAAGCCTGATATTGTGCTGATGGACCGGGCACAGTCAAGGATATTTTTGGTCGACATTACCATTCCGTGTGACGAGAACCTCGTGAAAGCCGAAACAGATAAGCAAACAAAATATCTGGACCTGGCTCACGAGGTGGCCGACATGTGGGGTGGTCTGCCGAACGAAATTATTCCTGTAGTCGTCTCTGCAAACGGGCTAATCCCAGTCAGCCTCTCGGGTCATCTGAGGCGGCTGGGACTACGTGGCGGACCGCTCCAGGCTCAAATGCAGAAGGCGGTGCTCCTCGATACCGCCCGCATCGTCCGCCGGTTTCTTTCCCTTTCCCCCTAACAGTCGGCCGTTTGGTCTCCCCTGCCAAGGGCTTCCATCTGGTTGGGCTTTTATTTATTTATGTATTTTTTTATTTATTTTATTTTATTGATATTCATGTATATTTATCTTTTCATTTTCGTTTATAATTATATATTTATACATCCCAACCAGATGAGAAAACTATATAGATACCCCACATAATAATAATAATGTTACGCGCTCCAATGCCTCAAATCGGCGCACTAGCGCCATCTAGTCTCGAACCGAAGAACTAAACTTCTTGAAGTTTAAAACTCGAATTCTCGGTACCTTGCGCGTGTTTACTTGAACATTCTGGATATTTTGCTAATTTATATAAGTAGTCGCTGCAAGATGCGATCGAAGTAGTATTGAATTGGCGATACGAGCGAAGCTTCGGAGCGAAATTATGTGAATTAGTGTGTTTAATTTAGTGTTTTAAGATTTAATTTGTTTAAAGTAAATTAAAGTGTTAATTTAGGTAATTTTATCGGCAATTTTTATTGTCACGAACCTCAAGCTCGTAACAATTGGTGTCAGAAGTGGGATAAAATCATGCCGATTTTACCTAAGGAGGAAACGGAGGGTGTCCGTACCCGAAGTCAACGCCAGCAGGAGACGGACCAACGAAGATTTGGTGGTGCAACGCCGCAGACGTCGGAGGGCCAGCCACCGGCTGCAGGCCCGTCGGTAGCTCCTACATCTGCAGCACCTGACTTAGGTGCTCTGATGGTGATGCTGCAGGAACAGGTCCATCAGTTGAAAGAGCAGCTGCAGAGCGGACAAGAGGAACAGGCCCGCCGACAGGAGGAACAGGCCCGTCGGTTGGAAGATCAGCAGGCGGAACAGGCTCGTCGGTCGGAAGAGCAGATGCTCCTCATGAAGGACCTTCACGCTACCCTTGGGAAAGAGATAAGGGACGTGAAGGATAGGGTTGCTCAACACGACAACCGCCTGTCGGAAGCTGAAACCCGAATCGAAGAACATGAAACCCGAATCAACCATGTGAACAATCGGGTTGACAACGTGATGGCTGACGTGAAGAAAACGCTAAACGACCTCAAACTTGGGGATGGAACTACAGCTCCCGTAGTAGCTGCAGCACCTTCGCTACGTGGATTCAAAGTGCCGCCGTTCGACGGGACCTCTTCCTGGTCGGCCTACAAAATCCAGTTCGAGGCCGTCATGGAGGCGAACGGCTGGAATAAAAGCCAAGCCATGACTGCACTCACCCTAGGCCTGCGCGACCAAGCCTTAACTGTGTTGGAAGCTCTCGGTAAGAAAGTGACCTATGAGCAGCTTCTTGAGGCCTTGAAAGCGAGATATGGCGACGCTCATCTGGAACACGTCTTTCGCGCGCAGCTTAAAGATCGCGTGCAGCGCAGCAACGAGAACCTGCAGCAGTGGGCCCTTGAGGTGGAGAAGATGGTTCGAAAAGCATACCAGTCTGTACCTGCGCTCATTGAAGGGAACCTGGTTCAGACATTCATCGACGGCATCCGCGACCTTGAAGTCAGAGCTGCTGTGAGACTCGGGCACCACGACACGCTTAAGAACGCCTTGGCCCATGCACTGGAGGTGGAAGCCGTACGGCAGGATCATCGATCCCATCGCATCAGGGAGGTTGCAGCAGCTACAGTTCGCGACCGCAACAGAGGATACAGCCCTAGGTGCTATGGCTGTGGGGAAAAGGGCCATCTTCGATCCAGCTGCCCTAAGCGAACCCTAGAAAGGGAAGGTGAACGATCTCAGGAGGGTAGTGCGGCCAACAGCACCGCCCTGCAGCAGCAGGGAAACGAGTAAAAGCCAGAACTGCGGGGCGGGTGCTGGCTGATGTTAAAAGAGCCCCAAGGATCTCGATCTCACAAACCCATGATGGGAACAGTCTAATCATCAAGGGCGAGGTCAACGGAATGCCGTGTAAACTGACCGTAGACACTGGAGCCTCTGGTACGGTTGTTAGTTCCCAACTTATAAGTCAGTTTCTTGGGGACTCCGCATACAACCGAGAACGCATTAATTTGGTAACAGCTACCGGTCAGCGTATACCCGTCCGTGGAGAGAAGGAGATGGAGTTGAAGCTAGGCAACGTGATCTACCTGCATAATGTCATCGTGGCTGATATAATGGACGACTGCATCCTAGGCCTAGACTTTATGAGGAATAATTGTTGAGAGATCGACGTTAAGCAAGGTGTTTTGAAATGTGGACAGGAGGAACTTTTTATGGAAGGTGCGTTACCAGGGAACGTGTACAGCATTAAGAAGACTGTTCTTCCGCCGAGATCGGAAACGATTGTTCCGGTTAGTCTTCCTCGAAACGATGGGCAAGCTCACCGTTGTGTACTTGTGGAAAGGGTAAACAATGACCTTCCATGGAAAGTAGCTCGAACCTTGGTTAGGACCACTGACGTCTCAGGAGTACGTGTGCTGAACCTTTGCGACCGGGAACAGATTATAGAAAAAGGCACACTGATTGGTACTTGTGAGGAAGTGGATTGGTTACGTCGGTGCCAAAATATATCGAGTGGGACCCCCAGCAAGGATGCAGAAACGAGAGTGACCACACTTTTGGAAGACTGTCGCAGTGTTCTCTCCCCGAACGAATTGGTCAAGGCGAAGAAGTTGTTACTCAAGTACGCCGATGTATTCTCATCAAACGATGCTGACATAGGAAAGACTGGCTTAGTTCAACACAAAATAAACACAGGACAAGAATTGCCTAACCGTCAGCGGCCAAGACGATTGCCGGTAGCACGTGAAAAGGAAGTGGAAACCATGATTGAAGGAATGGTGAAGGATGGTGTTATTGAACCTTCATCTAGTCCATGGTGTTCACCAGTGGTGCTGGTGAAG